TCTGGAGGCGGAATGTGGTCTGGCAGCAGAGGAGATTGCAGCATCCTAAGCTGGGCCTCGAGGCATCCGGGGTGAGGGTAGTGGTGAGGGTTGGCGAGCTAATGGCCCACCTCCCCTCCCAAAGCGGTCCGAGCTGCCAGGGGAGACTGAGGTAAGGCCCTCGCTGGCTAGGGACCGGTCCTAGGGTCCTGCTTATGGGAGCAACTGGGTCCCAGTTCCTGCTTCCACGTCTCTCCCAGTGCCCTGCAAGTCACTGGGCAGCCACATGGAGCTGGGTGTCTCGGGCAAGGACCCCCTTGATGGCCTGGTAACCTAGACGAAATCAGGACTCGAGATCTCCCTGGGCAAGAGTGTGTGTGCAGGGGGGGGGGGGGGGGGGGCGGTGCTCAATGAAACCAGCTCCCAGCACACACACACACACACACACACACACACACACACACACACACACCAGCTCGGTGTCCTGCCTATTGCTCTGGTTTTGCCCAGCAGACTCAGAAACCTCTCCAGGGCAGGAAGGGTCTTACTTTTGCCCTTGCTGCAGAGTTGTGTCTGCAATAAGGGCAGGTTGTGTTGTGCCTGACAGTAATAGCAAGAGGTGACCTCAAAGGAAGCAGCCTGGCTATCCTGAGAGATGGCAGGTGAGCCAGGAGAATCAATGGGGCTTTCATTCCTGGTCCTCTGTGTGCAAGGAGGAGGAGTGAGGAGAAGAGACCTGGGGGAGGGTCCTGTGAGCAGGGGTGAGCAAGCACATCAGGTGCATCCGAAGGAAGGACAGGCATACCTTGGGGATATTGCAGGGTTAGTTCCAGACCCCCGCAATCTCAAGTCAATACCACAATAAAGCGAGCCAGGCGGAAACTTTGGTCCCTCGGGGCATATAAAAGTTACGTTTACACTATAGTGCAGTCTATTAAGTGTGCAATAGCGTTGTGTCTAAAAAGGTACATACCTTCACTGAAAATGTTTTAATACTAAAAAATGCCAAGCATCGCCTGAGTCTATTGGGAAAATGGCACTGATAAACTTGCTTGACAAAGGGTGTCACAAACTTGGAATTTGTTAAAAGCACAGTATCTGCAGAGCCCAGGAAAAGGAGGGGTGCCTGCAGAGCCGCCTCCAACCTGGAGGCCAGGGATCAGAGGGAGCCAGAGGCAGGGTCTGGCAGGAGACACAGAGAGAAGCGCCTGGGGACCTGAGGTCTGAGACTGTGGGTGTGGGGTCTTAAGGATTCTGGCGGGAGGCAGGGCTACACCGGTCACACCCAGGAGGGAGGCCTGGTCTGACCCTGGTTCTTGGCCTTGTCACACTCTGGGGCCCTCTCAGCCACCCTCCTGCCTGGCTCTGCTCCCCACCAGCCTCACTTCACCCTGGGGTAGAGCTTTCTCCAGAACCCTTGTTTGAAGTTCCAAGTCAGCCAGCCCCACCCTCACATGAAATCTGAGCCTGGGGATAAAGCCCTCAGCCTCCCGCTGCTCTGAAAATCACTCCCCGCTTCCAACCAGTAGTGAAATATGTCAGATTGACTTCCTACCCATTCTGTAAGGCCCTGCTCCAGCCTGCCTCCTCCAAACCTTCCCAGCCTGCTCTGCTCCCTGTGTCTCCACCGCCACCACCACCACACCCGGCTGCAGAGGGGCGGGAAGCTCCTTGAGCCTTTAGGGTCTCTCCCTCCAAGGGAGCACACACACATCTTGGCTGGTGCTGCTGGTTACGTCCCCATGTATTTTCCCCTCCTGGACAGCAAGGTCCTTGAGGGCAGGGGCCATGCCTGATATTTCTCTGTGTCTCCCACAATTTCGAGCCCACGGCCTGACACACAGTAGGCATTCGGTAAATGTAGATCAGTGGAGTGAGTGACAAAAGACAGAGTCAGGGGCACACTCACTTTTCCTGAGAACTAAGCCAATCCGCTCCAAAAAGAAGAAGGAGGAGGAGGAGGAGGAGGAAGAGGAGGAGGAGGAGGAGGAGGGAGAGTGTGGGACACAGAAAACGGAGTAGACAGCCGACATTTATTTAATGCTTATTTATTATTTATTTAGCGTGTGTTAAGCTGCAATAACTGTTTTATGTATGTTCTGGTATTTACCCCTTACCACCCGCTCCGCGGAGAGGTGTCCTGTCAGTTCCACTTTACAGGTGAGAAAAGTGACGTTTCACAGGTGCTAATTAACACCCTCAAGGTGGTACACCTCACGAGCTGAGGACCCAGCACTGACAGCGAGGTCTGCCTGCCCACGCTCTGTCCACTCCGCCTCACACCCACTCGAGGCCCAGTGTGACAGCTGACTCCGCGGTTTCCCCGCAGCCGGGCAGGGGTGGAGGACGAAGGGCGGAGGGATTCGGTTTCTCCTCTTCCCATAGGAAGGGGTTCCTATTCTGCAGCTCTCTGTGATCCATCCACCCAAAGAGGAGTCCCCAGGGTCAGGATTACCTGCCCCCCTCCCGCCCCTTGTGCCACCCACAGGCACGCCTCGAAGCCCAGGAGCTGTGCCACTCACTGCCTCTGGCTCTGGCTCTTTGGAGGAAGGCTGAAGTCAGAGGCAGGAAGGCAAGGAAAGGTTCTGCTATCTTATGCCCTGTGTGTTCTCTTGTCCCAAGCAGCCTGTGCGGGGTCATCGGATGAGGCAAATAGCCAGGGTGCCTGGCCATCTGGTCACTACTGGGGCAGGACCTCTCTGGGCCTAGCAGGAGTGAAGAGGTTACACAGAGTCTTCATGGACAAAGAACACACACACACACACACACACACACACAGCCCTGACCTCATCTAATAGCTCTCTCCAGTGTCTATGGCCCGAGAGAGCTGAAATGCAGTTGTCTGAGTTTTCTGGGTTTCCCGCAGCTGGGCCTCGGTGGGAGCTCCTGGCACCCGGGGGCAGAGGTAAGTCCCCTCCTGCCCGGCTTCTCTGACTTTGACAGCTGTCTCCTCCGCCCCAGAAAGGCTGCTGTGCTGGTGGGGACCCCGAGACACCCAGGGACCGTGATTTCAGAGGATCCCTTGAAAAACCTTCTTCCACTTGTGCTGGGCGGGGGCCTCAGGAGACCTGCTCCTTGGAGATGCAGGCCGTCCCAAGTCCGGGACTCAGGAGACAGATGTGCATTCCCAGGGCAGCCCAGACGGCAGACAGGCTGGAAAACATCAATGTCCTAGAGCCAGAGACTAGGGAGAAGTCTCTCTCTCTCTCTCTCTCTCTCTCTCTCTCTGGCCAGAAAAGTTTCCTGCAGGAGGAAAAGCCTCCTTGGCTGCAGGTTTCTGTCGGGACGCGGGGAGCCTGCCCACCCCAGGAATCCTCTAAGGAAGGACAAGAGGCATCGGCTTCCACGAACGGCCCAAAAGTTCAGTCTTCAAAGTCCCCCAAACTTCCCCTCCCTCTTCCCCTCCTTCTTTTGTTCCCCGCAGCATTGCCAACCAGGCAGCTCCAGCATTCCCACCCCGGACCGTCCTGCCCCCATCCGAGCCCCCGGCGGCCCGCGCCTCCCGGCCCGGCCGGGCCCCCCGCCGGCCCCGCGCCCCGCAGGCCGCAGGATGGATGGGGGTTCGCCTACCCGCCTTGCAGGGGTCTTTGTAGTTGAGGGGCTCCGCGTCGTCCTCCTCGCCCAGGTCGTAGGTGTAGTCGGCCAGCTCCAGCGGGCGGCCGGGGCGCGGGAGCAGCAGCAGCCCGAGCAGCAGCGGCAGCGGCAGGCGGGCCACGCCGGGCATGCTGGCGGCGGCGGCGGCGGCGGCGGCGGCGGGGCGCGCTCGGTCGGTCGGACCCGGGAGCGGGCGAGGGGAAGCGGAGCGCTGGAGGCGAGGGGGAGGCGCTCCCCTCCCCGCCCGCCCGCCGCTCTCCCCGCCCGCCGGCTCCCCCCGCGCTCCCCGCGCTCCCCTTCCCTGCGCCCGCCGCCTCCTTCCTGTCCCCCGCCCCTCCGGCCCGCTCCCTCCTCCAGCCTCCCGCCTGCTCCCTTCCCTTCTTTCTCTCCTTCCTTCGCTCCCTCCCTCCCCCCTTTTTTTAGGGAAATGAGCTCGCTGCGGGGCGGGTTTTCGCCTGGAGCCCGGCCCCCTGGGGGCTGGGACCGCGAGCCGCCGGCCGGCCCCGGCCCCGCGCCAGCCCGGGCGGGGAAGGCGAGCCGCGGGGCCTCGCCGGGAAGGGGCTTGGGGGGCCGGGGAAAAGGGGTGCGGGTCGGGGTGCCGGCGGGGGCCCCCTCTCCCCCGCCAGCCGCCCTCTAGCGGCGCCTCCCCCGTGCGCGCCCGACCCGGCCGCTCCCGGTGCGGGACACGTTGTCAGGTCGCTCGCGCCGCCTCTGCCTCGCCGTCCCCGGGTCCCTGCCCCGGCTTCCCAGCCATCGGCTCTCAGCCCCTTCCCGGATCCTCGCCCTCTCTCTCCCATCTCGGTCCCTGTCCCTGGAGTTCTCTCTCGCCCTCCCTCGGGAGACACCACTGGGGGGCGCCGAAAGCCCGCGGATCGCTCCCGGGGGCGGGGGGGTGGGGGGGCTCTTCCCCAGCATCCTGGGCCGGGCACTGGGAAAGCCCCCTGTGCTCCCCAAGAAGGCTCTATCCTTCCCCCTAGCCCGCCCCCACCAAGAGAGCAGGACCGGGGCTGTGGGGCCAGAGAGGAGGGACACCATTTATTTCTCAATCGGGCTGCTTTATTCTGTGTGCTAGGTCCCCTGGCCCCTGGCAGCCACCTCTCCTGCAGCTCCTCACTCCAGGGCCGTCCCTAGGGTGTAGCAGGAGCAGCTTCCTGCCTGTTTGTCCAAGACCCTTTGCTCAGGGATCTTATCCTGTCCCTTTTGGGGGGTCCGCAGACTCTGTGAAGCAAAGAAACCCTGTTTACTATGTGAGGGAGAGGGGTTGGGGGGAGGGGGGAGATGAGAATGTCTATGGACCTCCCCTCCCCTGAGTGACGGGCATCAATGGATCCCCCTGTGCTGGGCCAGCTGACCAGGCAAGGCTGCCCAGCCTTCCTTTGGCACCAGCGCTCGGGGCTCCGGGGCTCACACCTGCTCACCTGAGGGGCCTAGATGTAGTAGAGGGGCACCTCGCCACACAGGGTGCTCAGGGTGGGGCCCAGGAAGTCCAGGTTCCTGGAGGACTCCGAGCCGGGGTCATGACCCTCCGCCTGGCCCAGCTCCGAGCGGGGCACTGCCGGCTTGACCTGGAAAGAACACCCGATTTGGAGCCGAGCATGGGAGCTGAGATGTCGTCTTACTCGAGGTCCTTCATGTGGGACGTCAGGTGTGTCCTGCAATCTCTCTGACCCGTAAAGAGGGGGCTGTACTGGAGTCAGACGCCCCCAGCTGGTATGTGGGTTCAGCAGCTGGGTGGTGGGTGGTGTGGCAGGAATGGGGAATCGGTGGGGAAGGTGTGATGCCGGTGAGTCCAGAAAGGGGCACTCACCTGGCAGCCTACCAGGAGTCGTGCTTTACATGTGACCAGTAGCCATCACCTCAGGCGGTCCTCCCAGCAGTCCTGGGAGGGAGATAGCCCGCCCCTTGCCCTCGCACCCACCTGGAGGTTCTGGAGCTTCCTGGCGAGAGCCTCGAGGCTGGGGATGCTCTCCGGGGCCATCTTCATGATGTAGCAGCAGGTTCCCGGGGCTGGCTTGTAGGCAATCAGGAGCTGGGCACAGGACCCCAGAGTTCATTCAGGTCGGCCCTGCCTCGCTCACTCTAACCCTCCTCCCGGGCCCTCTCCCTCTCGGTGGGGCACAGGCAGGAGCCGTGCTGAAAGCTGGGGTGCAGGCATACTCAGAGGAGGTGAAAGGGCAGGGGGCTGAGGAGAGATGGATTTGTTTGAAGTGTCACAGCTGGGTGGGTCTAGGGGAATCTTGTCATCGGTCCCCCGAGCCCAAGGTCAAGAGATCCAGGCATACCCACCCGCTGGTAGTCATACACCACGATGCCTGTGGAGCCGATGGAGAAGGTGGCGGTGGTGCCGGCGCGCTCACTCAGGGCCAGGCGCTGCTGGGCTTCTGACCCCACCATGCTCATCTCCAGGACCTGGGGGAGGGCGTAGTGCTGCCTGACATCCCTCCTTCCCCACTTGTCTCTTTGGTCCCCGTGTCCATCCTTAGTCCTCTGTGCTCCAGCTAATTCCTTCCTCCCTGACAGCTCTGAGAGGCTGAGGGGAACCAGGTGCTGGAGGGACCAGGCCTCCCACCATGGGGCAGGGGCAGGGGCCGGGTGGAAAGGCCCGGGCCAGGTTTGCCACCCTGTTCCTGCCTCTGTCCTCCCATGAGGTGCCCCTCGCCTTCTCTTGTCATTCCTCTTGGGCAGATTGCTATCTGCCCATCCCGCCCTCCCCCCGCCCCATCCCACCCCTCGGACATGCCCTATACTGGCTGCCACCCTGTCCTGGGCCTGCTCACCATCTCAGTGTGTTTCTGGCTCATGTGAAGACCCATGAGCAGGGCCCCCACAATCACCACGACGACCAGGACCACCACCACGACCACGATGAGGAGGCGTTTGAGGTGCACGGGGCAGCAGGGGATGCGGAACCGGCCCTGGGGGGCTGCGGAGTAGTCCTGGTGTGGCAGGGCAGGGGAGAGGAGACAGGTGTGAAGTCACAAGGATGCCCCCTCTCCTCCCTGCACAGGTCAGACACGCCTTCCCACACCCTTCCAGGGCTGGGCCACCAATGCCATGAACGTGGAGAGGAGGGAGGAGGAGATCAGAGAAGGCTTCCTGGAGGAGGTGCCCTGGATTCCAATCGACTCATAGACGGTTAAGAAGTGAGGTTTCGCTCGGAGAGACCCAGGAGAGTCTCTTCCCCAGTCTTTTTTCCCGCTGTTTCCTTCAGACCCCTGGCACCCGGGCCACACCCAGTCCCTCTCCATTCCCCAAATAACCCCTGTTCCCCCACACCTCCGGGTCTTTATTAATGCCACCCTTCCTCCCGCAGTGCCTTCCTCCCTCCACATCTGGGAGCTCCGACTTATTCCGGAGCCAGCTCCAACGCCATTTTCTCTGTGGAGCCTCGGGTGACGCCTCCCTACTCAGGGTCCTCTTCAGCTCTTTGCACTTACATTGGAATCGCTAGCTGCCACATCTGTCTCCCCCAGGGAACTCTGTCTTTAGTGGTCGACGTCCCTGCCCTCACTTAGCACAGTTCGAGCTTGACTGGGTACGTGAATTTGGATGAGGAGACAAGTTGGAGGCGGCAGGGCCCACCACCTATATGCACCCACACATGATCACACTCACCGGCGGGCTCTCCATCAAAACCTCTTTGCTGCCCACATCCATCTTGCCGCAGGCGCCTTCCCCTCCTCAACGCCCCGATGGGACCAGGGTCTTATATGTGCGGCAGGGAGAGGGGACAGAGGTGAAGGACCGGCCCTTGTCTGCCAGCCAAGTCCTTGGCTTTGAAGCCTGTTTGTTCCTGGTTCTCCAGCACCAAGGCCCGATAAGCCAGCTGCGAAAGCGCCCAAGGGCCCTTGGCCCTGGCACATGAGTCCTCTTGGCCCCGGCAAGAGCAAAGCTGGGTGAGCTGAGCAAACTTGCCCTTGGGCAATCGGTGCCTCTCACCTTGGGTGTCTTCCTTGGCATGCCTGCCTCTCTAGCTGGCACCTGCCCTTGACGTCCTGTGGCTCCCACTGTTCTCCTGCCAGGCTGACCCACCCAGGAAGCCAAGAGTCTGCCGCATGGGGAGTCCATTACCTTCTGCAACAGAATTTCGCCCCCCCCCCCCAGCCTCCCGAGTGGGGATGAGCTCCAGGGTGGGGGGCGAGAAGAAGGTGCCTGTGGTCCCAGAGGGGACGTCACTCATGAATGGTTCATAAATTCTCTGGGAGCATCAGGTTTTCACGTGAAATACACACTTCTGCTTCTAACCTCAGACTTGCCCCTACCCATTCTTTTCCAAATTCTGAATACTCTGTCTCCTCTAGTGACAAATGCTTATGTACTAACCTGAAGATTTTCTTCTTTTTTTGTAAAAAAATATATTTTATTGCCGGCACCGGTTTGGCTCAGTGGTAGAGCGTCAGTCTGCGGACTGAAAGGTCCCAGGTTCGATTCCGGTCAAGGGCATTACCTTGGTTGCGGGCATATCCCCAGTAGGGGGTGTGCAGGAGGCAGCTGGTCGATGATTCTCTCTCATCGACGTTTCTAACTCTCTATCCCTCTCCCTTCCTCTCTGTGAAAAATCAATAAATATATATTGATTTTTCACAGAGAGGAAGGGAGAGGGATAGAGAGTTAGAAACGTCGATGAGAGAGATTGAGAAACATTGATCAGCTGCCTCCTGCACATCCCCCAATGGGGATGTGCCTGCAACCAAGGTACATGCCCTTGACCGGAATCGAACCCCGGATCCCTTGGTCATAGGCTGACACTCTACCCACTGAGCCAAACCGGCCAGGGCTAACCTGAGGATTTTCATTCTTTCCTATAGGTTAGTTTGTAAGCTGAAGGCTCTCCCCTCTCCCCTGCTCCACCGTTTTTATTTTATTTACATTTATTTTATGCTAAATGGATTCCTGGGTCATAAGTTTTTGTTTCTTCAATTTCTTCCAGGGTGTCTTTTTTTATTCTGTGCCACCTCCTCTTGCGGGTCAGGGGCAGCTGCTCATTTGCAGTAAGTTCATCTCACTGTGGCAGGGGGAGCCCCCCTCGGGGTTCCTCTGCCCAGGAACTCTGTGAGGTCTGCACCCCCACTTGGGGGCTTTGTTCACCTGGATGTGCTCAATGACCAGAGAACCTACTTCAAAACCCTGCAGTTCAACATCACTCTCTTCAGTTTTAAGCTTGTGCAATAATAACTCAGTACTCCTTTTGGGCCACTGACCCTGTGTCCAGCCCACTGTTTGGATGGGGCACACCTACCTACTCCAACACCGAAACCATGGAACGGCACGCACTGCTTCTGTCAAGTGACATCCTTCAGACACTTGATGGCTTTGTGGGTATCCATACCCTGCTTGATGGTGGGAGTGGTTCCGTGAGCATTTTAAAAGTGAGCATGAATCCCTGGCCGGGTGGCTCAGTTGGTGGGCACGTCATCCCATACACCAAAGAGGTTGTGGGTTCGATTCCCGGTCGGAGCATATATCTAGGTTTCAGGTTTGATCCCTGTTGGGGAACATATGATGGATCGATGTTTCTCTTTCCCTCTCCGTCTGCCCCCTCTCTCCCCCTCTCCCTTCCTCTCTAGTTAGAATCAATAAAAATGTATCTTTGGGTGAGGATTAAAAAAGGTGACCATGGAGATGTGAACCTTTCAATCTGTGTGATTTAGTGGGGTCTTCTGCATCAAGTGAATGTCGAGCCATTGTCATAGATCCAGCTGAAGGCTTCTGACAGCGGATTCCATGCCTGACACTGCCTTCTTCCGCCCAGACAGGCGTGCACAGGCTGGGTGTGGTGGCTGAGGGACTCAGTCTCCTCATCCTCGCATCAGCCCCCTTGCTTGGTGCTGCCATCACCCTTCCTCCCTGCACTCCTTTTATTTATTTTTAAAATATATTTTATTGATTTTTTTCAGAGAGGAAGGGAGAAGTATAGAGAGTTAGAAACATCAATGAGAGAGAAACATCGATCAGCTGCTTCCTACACATCCTCTACTGGGGATATGCCTGCAACCAAGGTACATGCCCTTGACAGGAATCAAGCCTGGGACCCTTCAGTCTGCAGGCCAACACTTTATTCCCTGAGCCAAACCGGTTAGGGCCCTGCACTCTTTTTATATCTGCTGATCCTAAATCTGCCCTGAGAACATTTCTCGCTCAAATGAGATTCACTCTGTGGATCTTTCTCGTCTAACTTTCTTTTTTTTATTTTTTTTATTTTTATATTTTATTGATTTTGTACAGAGAGGAAGGGAGAGAGATAGAGAGTCAGAAACATCGATGAGAGAGAGTCATCGATCAGCTGCCCCTTGCACATCCCCCACTGGGGATATGCCCGCAACCAAGGTACATGCCCTCGACTGGAATCGAACCCGGGGACCCTTCAGTCCCCAAGCCGACGCTCTATCCATTGAGCCAAACCGGTCTCGGCTCTTCTAACTTTCTTTATCTCTTGTTTCCTATTCTTTCCCCAAAGCCATCTCTGTTGCTTCATTGTGCTAAACCAAATCTACTAATGGTGGCTGTTAGGGTCACCAAAGGAGGAACGCACAAGGCCAAAAGGGGTAAAGAATTATGAATGATTTAGGTCATTGGGATACCAGATGGGCTGAGCCCCCAAATGGTGCCAGCCCCCAAAGACTGGGAGTCAGAGGTTTTTAAAGGACTCTAGGTGGGCTTTTTCTGGGCTGAGAGTTCTCTGTGCAGGTCCGGGTTCTGGAAAACTCTGGAGGGGAGAGGTCAAGGGAATGTGGTCTAAGCAAGTGGGATGTCCATGGTGAAGTGGCCTAAAGGTCAGTTCCCAGGGGAGGGGGTATCGATTTGATTCTTTGATCAGACCTAACGTTGGCATCCTTTCTCTCAGGTTGCCCTCTGCTGGCTGGGCCAGGGGCACCCTAAGGCGCCTTCACCTCTAGACTTTCATGAGTGTGTGAGTCTGAGCCCACACCTTGCTCCTCTCTTGGTCTCTCTCCCTTATCTTCCTTGTAATGTAACTCCAATAGTTCACCCCAATTTCTGACCTTTGCCTGGGGGCTTCCTCACACTTGGCCCTGCTGTTTGATCAGGAGCAGACTCCCAACTCTCCAGCCCTGGCAGGTTCCCTGTCCCCACAAGGGCCTCCACTTCCCCTCGGGGGGCCTTTAGCCTCCTGGTTGCACAACAGCATGGAATCTGAGCTGAGAGCCCCTGAGAAGCTGGGGCAGGAGGAAGAGAGAAGGAAGGAAGTGTTTGCTCCCACCACCCTCCCCCAACTACTCCTTTAAATATTTGCCTAAGCCTCTAGCAGCAAGTGTCCTAGGAGGCAAGAAAGAGGGGGAGGGGGCTTGGAGGGAGGAGGAGGATCTTCTCAACTGTGTGAGGCCTCAGCTGTGTGTGCAGGTGCCAGATGCAGGAGACAGCTGCCTGCAGTGCCCACCCCTGCCCACCCCCAGGGCCCCTGCTCCCATCCCCAGTTGTCCTGGCAACACCGGGATTGATGGGCCGACTCATGCATACTGGGCTGATGCCAGGTGGGCAGTGGGCCAGCAGGAGAGCCAAGGATAACTGCAAGCATCTTGGGGTCCCTGTGGGCATCTCTGGGAGCTGCCTAGCCCAGCTTTGGGCCTTGTTCTGAGCAGGTGCTGTGTGTAGGGCTTGCTCTTATCACTGGATCAGGGAACCAGGGCTCTTTCTTGGAGAGAAGCCTCTGCTCTTGGAGCCTCAAGTCTCCCCTGCAGGCTGCCCTCAGGCTGTACTTTCCATAAGCTTTATGGATTTTTCCTTCTTTTTCTCTCTCTGGGTTATTTATTTTTTTCCTTTTTGGAGGTTGGTAAGGAAAGATGCCCTCCAGTTTCATGAGGCAAGTTCAGGTGCTGGCACCAACTGGATGGAGCTCTTCGGAACCTTGGAGAAGGAAAGAGGGAGGGACCTTTAGTGGCATAGCTGCTCCCTTCCCCTCCCCATCCTCCCCTCCCGTCCCTCACCCCAGCCTTCTGCTGTGGCCTTCTTATCTCTTGGCCTTTCCTTAGGCTGGTTCTCCTGGAAATATCACTCTCATTGCCTCTCTAACTCTCTCAATACCACCCACCCTAAAAGGCCAAGTGAGAAGCAATGGCACCCACGCTGTGACCTCACTGCTCCAGCCCATGGCGCCTCCCTCCTCCTCCTCCTCCAAAACCTCCCAGCCTCCCCACTGCACATTCACTTGCCCTTAGCACGCACTGCTGTTGTCACCAGCTGCGCACCAATGTTCTCACCAGCTGAGTGGGTGCCTTTATCTCCCAGCCTGGCTGCCAGCCATGTGACCAGCCCTGAGATCTGGTGTTCCTGAAGCTTCCTTGTACCTGCTGCAGGGCAAGCCAGGAGCAGGCACGCAGCCAACAGCCAATGACAAGACTGTCCTCACCAAAAGTTGAGGGGGTTCCTGGCAGGAGGTCAGAAGTTCATTCCTTCAGTGTGCGAAGGTCTCAGTGCCTCATGGACCAGCTCTCAGACCCTGAATGAGACGTTCTGTCTTCCTAGACTTTAGGGTGCTCATCTGTGCAATGGGACTAGTTCGCCTGTCCTGTCCCCCTCGCCCCGTTGGTGTGAGAATACAATGACACCATGGTGAGAAAATCCAATCCATTACCATTATCTTTACCTCCCAGGAGCCTCTTCTCAGCTCTCCTCAGCACCCCCTTTCTGTGTGTCTCTGGGGTAAAGCCTCCGAGGCCGTGAGAGTGGAGAGCCCCATGGAGCCTCTCCCTCTCTCTCTCTCTCTCTCTCTCTCTCTCTCTCTCTCTCTCTCTCTCTGTCTCCCTTTCCCCTCCTTCTAGCCGCTCAGCTGCAGGGGCAGAGCAGGATTCACTCTGCTCTTTGTGTCCTGAGCAGAGCCGTGCCAGGGACAAGCAGGGGTGGTTGCCCAGCTGCCCCAGCCATCCTCCCCACCCCCATTGCTTGTCTTCCCAGAGCTGGCATGGGGAGGG